ATATATATATATTATAAGCTCAACTTAATGCAGAGAATATAATTTATATAAATAAAAATTAATAATATTATATACACACAATTGCAAATATAATTATTTGTGTGGCATGCCAATATCTACAGCTAATAACTTTTTGAGAGAAATGGTAAGGGTAAATGGTAAGTGTATGTAAATTACCTTTGGTCAAATGTTTTATTAAGAATTAGTGAAGTTTAATCTAGCTCAATATCGAAAAAAAAAATTAATATATATATATTTCAAAATAAATTTAATGATTTTAATAAGTTTTTTTCTTAATTTTATATGTAATTTTTATATTTAAGTGGCTTGGGTACATATGCTATAAATTAGGGTTTTGTTTCTTTGGTGGAGCCGAGTGGGCGGGGTCAGGTAGGAAGCACGTCCCTATCTCAAGCTCTGAATGCTACATACTTTTCTATTCTCATGACGAAGAAAGGAAACACACAGGGGTTTACTAATTATTTATATATTTCTTTTTTGTTTTCAATTATGTTCGATTTCTTTGAGATTGTATTTTCGACCAACAATAATCGTAAGAGATTTCATATATGGATTTTTTTTTAATTGCATCAATTAAAATAAAAATAGAAAAAAAGTTGACTATTTTTTTTATATAAAGTAATTAATTCAATCTCCTTGAATAAAAAAAATAAAACTAAAGTATTCACTTTTTGGCTATCAAAATAATTTATCATAACAAATAATTAATGATAAGATATGATTTGTTAAATAATCCCATTAAATTTTAAGTCCAATCATTGATCTTTGACTTTTTAACTCCAAGCTAAAACACATGAGCACAAATAAGGGACACTTTCATATGAAAAAAAAAATGTATTATTCTTTTGATTAATCTCTTAAAGCAAATTTTTTGGGTTCAATTTAGGGGTGATTAGATGTGAAACTTTAATATTTTTATTTTTGCAAAATTATGTTTAAACTGCCTTTAGTTCATAATGGTGATATGATTTATTAAGTTATCCGAAATAACTTCGAGTTAATATTGATTCCTTGATTTTTTTGTCTTTATATTTGGGTTAGAAAAGAATATTAATTTTATTTTTAAATCACTGGAGACATGTTTTCAAAACATCAAAAACATAGAAATTGTGTTTTTGCTGTTTCAAAAACTTATTTTTTGGAGCTTTGCCCCAAGAACTTAAATTAGATTAATTAATTAATTTAGGCTCCATTTATTAATCATCACTGGCTGAAATGAATTTTTCCAAATTAACTCCACTAATCAACTGCTAAACTTGCTTAATAAAGTTACAAAAAATTAACGGAATTATAAAAATTACTTTAAATTCAACCAATTAATAAAAAACTTAATTAATAATCATTTAATCAAATCATTAATTATTTAAGTAAAACCTAAATGAATTTAATTAACTAATAATTACTTAATTTAAGAGTAAATCAACCCAATTAACTTAATAATTTAAATACTGAACACATAATAGTTCAAATAAAATATTAATCATTTAATTAAGTTAATAATAATAAAATTAAAACCATAAATTATTTAAACATGTCATTAAATATATAAATAATTAAATATAAAACTAAATAACTTTATTGTAATAATAATTAATGAATAAATTAAATATTTAATTTAATAATTGAAATTTTGATTAATCCATAAAACTAATTTTAATAAACTTATTAAAAATTCAAATCAATTAAAGCTTCAATTTAACAAACCTTAACTTAATGCATAAATAAATAATTAATTAATTTCAATAATCCACAAAAAAATAATTAACATGTTAAATAATTAAATTAACTAACATGTTAGTAGTTATTACAACTTCTATATATATATGGAATATAATATTTTATAAATGATTTGTTTTTAATGAATTTTTATACTGTGGATTTTGACACAATTACATAGTTAGAGTTGGCGACAATTTTTATGTGATAAGAAAGAATAGAGTGGTCTAATTGTAAAAGGTGAAATTTAGGTGACATATATGTAAATGCCCGATTATGTTTAACTAATTTTTTAACAAATATAGTTCTTTCTTTTAAAAAAATACAAAATATCCAACCAAATATGCTTTATATTTTTTGTTTTCAAAAACATATAAATCATAACAATATCAAATACATTTTCTAAAAATAAAAAACAAGAAAAAAAACAGACTGAGAAGAAAAGCAAAATTGAAAAATAGAAAGTAAGAAGAAAAACTACACTTTAGCAAGATAGCACATTACTTTTACTTTTATTATATAGGCTTAACTAACTTTCTTAATACACATATCATGATGAATGAAAAGCTTATAAATATTTGCCCTTATGGTTTAAACTTTGCTATTATTCTTCTTCCTTTAACTTCCTTGCATTCAATATTACTTTATGTCAAGATAATGAGACTCATGAACCTTGAGCTTGGTGATTACAAGTGAAAAAAGGCATATCAGAAGAAAAAGTACAATAAAATGAAATTGTGCAATCATAATTGTCTCATTCTAAGAACGTTATAATTGAACACTGAAGCAAATAAGAGTTTTTCAAAAAGGTATGTCCTTGAAGACACTAACTATTTACACTTTTCTCCACGCTCTTACTAATAAATGAAAGCCAATTTTGACCAAGAAGTCTAAAAAGTTGATGTGTGCTCACCATGCCAAAGTTGTTATTATGAGAAGGGCAAAAACACTATAAAAGAGCCAATTTACAATTCATGGATCAAACATAAATAGTAAGAAGCCATTGATTCATTCACTACACAACACCAAATTCTTGAATGCAAATAGGGAAAAGTAATAAACTTTTAAATGATTGAATAAAATCTCAAGCATGTAACTTTTCTCATTCTCTATACCTTCAACTTTCACTAGTGAATACGAATAAAATTTTCTAACCATGATACCTTGTAAGTCAACTTCTCACTTTATTTCAAACAGAAACTTGACAAATCAATTCTTCGAATAAATAAGAGAAATTTTTTGAAAACTTTTATTTACAAAGTCATCCAATCATTGAATTCAATTTCTTCAAAGTTTGATGTTGTAATAATCATTATGTTGTAAGGATTATAATTGATTAGTATTAAAACATCTATTTTATGAGATAACGCAATTGGTGTTTAAACATTAACTAAAGATACAATATTTTTAGAGCTTAATTGCTTTGAATATTGAGTTTTAGCCTTTTTTTTTTTTATCTTGCTTGATTTAAGTTTTAACTTTTTTTCCACACTCATTTCATCATAATAATAATAACTCAAATTTTTAGGACCAAATGTTGATATGATGCTCTTTTAAGTTTTAATCTCATTTATCATTCTAATTTTGTTGAGACAACCACAACCCTATCAACGACTAAAATCACCACAGCTTAATCAAATTATTTAATATTCAATAAAAATAAATAGATAAATTAAATCAATGTCCTCATGTATTTACTTATCTAACACCTAAATTTCAATTAATTTTTTTACACACATACCACCTTACCTATGCATGAAACTGTGCATTTCACCTTTTTAAAGTTAAAATGGTAGTACTTTTCTTATGTGGCAAGAAAGATTTGGATGGTATAAATGTAAAAATTAAAATATTGGTTTTAGATATATGTAAATACTTAAGAATTGGGCGGTACATAAGTAGATGCCCCGAATAAATTTGAAGCGTTTTGAGCTCAAAATTCATGAACAGCTCATTGGTTTTTGTCATAAACAACAATCAAGAACCGAAAACTCCTTATAAATTGAATTTTTTTCAGTAATACCCTTCTTATTATAAAGGCTTCTGCAATGTTCATCATGTTTGGTTATTTACTTAGACCTTCACCTTTCCTTAATGGAGAATCCTTCGAAGATGCAGACTGACACATAACAACGGGATAATTATATACACAGTACCCGGAACATTGCAATTTACAAATCTAACCCTCAAGTGATTTTTTGTGAACTACCAAACTGATGCATTTATGCACGCCACAGTCAAGTTGTAGGGAATTTGATAAAAATGATAGGTTTTATCATGAATTTTGATATTTGAGTGGGATTTTGGTGCAATATCCTTATTTTTCTTAAGCTTATCAAGCGAAATAAAGTTGAATTTCAAGTAAAAAAATATTCAGGTTTGGACAATAAAAATAAAAAGAGGAGGTGCTGATAGACAAACAAGAAGGGTATGCACAGTAATGTATCACCTCCCTATTAACTACTTCACCTAATAATTTCTCCAAAATTTTACCTAATCAAATCACCACAAATTAAATGTGCCACCCCCCCACCCCAACTCTAATTCCAACCAACTACCAATTGCTTAGCACCCCCACCTCCCATCTGTGGCCAAACAACTTCCTGCCTTCCATCTTTAGCTTCGCACCGCCTCATCCATCACAATTGAGAAAATGTAACGTTTATCGTCCGGACATGCGAGCACTCATGTCACGCGAACATGCGAACGATAGTGTCTCGCACCACGCTGTGCATCCAACGGCGTGGTGCGATTTCACGTTGTCGACCGCACGGACAAAATATTTTCTCCTCTCGACCGCACGGACGTAATTCCTACATGAGTTGCAATAT